GCGCTGACGCTGCCGATGTGCAGGGCGGGGCTGTTGTTCTCGCGGACTAACAGGGTGTAGGAGGTCTGTGTGAAGGCGGGGGCGTTGTCATTGACGTCGGAGACCAGAACCGTTATGTTGTACTCGGTTTTCAGCCTGGGTGTCCCCAAGTCAGTCACGGTGATGGTGATGTTGTACTCGGCTTGGCTCTCTCTGTCCAGTTTTCTCTGTGTCACGAGGGTGTAAAAGTTCTTGAATGTGGGCTTCAAAAGAAACGGGAGGTCGTTCTGGATGGAGCAAATCATCCTACCGTTATCCCCAGAGTCTGGATCGGAAACACTGAAAACAGCAACTACAGTTTCCGGGGCGTTTTCTGGGGTAGGGCTGGAGAGCGTCGACAGGGTGAGTTCAGGGGCGTTGTCGTTCACATCCACCACTTCTATTGCCACAGTGCATTTTCCCGAAAGGCCCCCAACATCTGTGGCTACAATTTCCACATTGTAATATGGAGTTGCCTCGAAATCCAATGCCCTTTTCAGGCGAATTTCTCCTGTTATTTGGTCTACTACAAATGGTTGAGTAACTTCATCACCTTGAAATAGAGCATAGGCTACACTCCCATACGCTCCTGCATCTAAATCTCGCGCAGAGACAGCGACAATTAAGGAGTTAAGGGGGCTGTTCTCAGGAACCTGTACCTCATAAAGTGATTGTAAAAATTCGGGGGCGTTGTCATTATTGTCCAAGACGACAATGCGAACTGTGGTGGTCCCGGACCTGGGCGGAGCCCCACCATCCAGTGCCGTGAGTGTTAAGCTGAGCTCAGGTCTCTCCTCCCGGTCCAGCGCTTTGTCCAGCACCAGTTCTGGGTATTTTCTGCCGTCTCCGCGAGTATGAGTAGCCACATGAAAGTGCGAATTGGGGCTGATTGTGTAGTTCTGGACAGTGTTGCTACCTATGTCAAAGTCCTGTGCTATTTTCAAAGGAAACACAGTCCCAGGCTGGGTGCCCTCTGAGATTTTTAGGAGCATTTCCCTCTCTGGGAACTCTGGAGAATGGTCATTTATATCTGCGAGCTGCAGATCAGCTTGAAAAAACTGCACTGGGTTTTCTAGTAAGAGTTGGAAATGCAATATACAAGGGTCTGTCGCCCCGCACAACGCCTCCCGGTCTAGTTTTTTATATAGAAGCAAATTCCCGGTCTTTATATCAAGCTGCAAGAGCTCTTTGTTTCCTTTGTAATGGATTCGCGCGCCCCGAGTGGCCAGTTCCCCCACCCCGAGACCCAGGTCTTTTGCCAGGTTGCCCACAGAATAGCCACTTTCTGTTTCTTCTGGTATGGAATACCTAAGTGCCTCAGAGCCAGCCTCCCACAAAAGCATCAGTATAGCAAGAAACATAACTTGCCTTTTCTGTGGCGTTTTTGCTAGCGCAGTCTCCATTGTTCAGACCCGGTCCAGAAGGCGCAGTTTCTTCAACTCGGTATACAATCCACCCAGATGATTTGCTTAAATAACCGCGAATTCAGTCTTTCTTGACTGACTTGCACAAGAACGACGTCCACTCTGAAGATTTAGCCACTAGATCTTACCTAAAATGCGTCCTTGTTTTAGGAAGCATTCAGTTTGGATTCCCCAGCTTAATGGCGCCTGGGTTATCCGCAGAGCCAGCTATTCACACTCTTAGCCTGCAGCGCCACCAGGCGTCCTAATTTACTATTGCACACAGTATTTGCCGTTTCATCCTAAATTGTAATCTTGATGTGTATCCATACTCTTTTTTCATATAAGCTCTCTCGATGATATCTCCAGTTCTTAGTTACTGGAAGTTCTAAATAAATGTTGCGGAGTTAACTTTCAGTGAGAGATTACTTTTGAGAAAAAACTAAACATATATTAATCTCCTCCATAAAAGTACCTTTGAGTACACAAACATACTTTTTTTGGTGGGTTTCTTATTTGATTACATTCAGTAAGTGACTATGAATATCTACAGAAATTTAAAGTTTAAGAAAAATTACTTTCGAAGTAAACAGCAATAACACCCAGAAAATGGAACAAATCATAGGTGTACAACTCAATAAATTTTCACAAAGTGAGCACACTCCTATAAGCAGAACCTAGATTAAAAATAAAATACTACCCAAACTCAAGTCCCCACCTGCTACTGTCTGGTTACCACCCTCTCCCCAAAAGACAAAAACTGTCCTGACTTCTGTGGTCATAGATTTTTTTTTGCTTTTTTTTTTTTTTTAACTTTATACAAATGGAGTTGTACAAAGTTACTGTATACAGATTGTTACTCTCATGTGTCTGGCTTCTTATTCTCAATATTATGTTTGTCAAATTGATCTATGGCATCTTGCTCTAATTTTTTTATTCTCATTGCTTTATATTATTCTGTTGTATGAATATACTATGATTTATTTATCCATTCTCCAGTTGGTGAACACTGGATTTTTTCCAGTTTTAAGCTATTTTGGGTAGTACTGCTGTAAACATCCTGTACTAGTCTTTTGGTGACCACATATATGTGTTTATGTTGAATATATTCAAAGGAGTTGTATTGCTATGTATTAAGATGTGCACATATATTTTGCTTTAGCAGATAATGGGAAAATTTTCATAAATAGTTGTACTAATACCAGCAAAGTATGAGAGTTCCAGTTGCTCCACATTCTTGTCAACATTTGATGCTATCTTTTCCATTTTAACCCTCTCTGGTGAGTGTGTGGTGATATCATATTTTAATTTTAGTTAGCATTTTCACTGGTGATTAAACAATTTGAGTATTTTCATGTTTGTCGGCCATTAGGATACACTCTTGTGAAGGGCTTATGCAAATCTTTTGTACTTTTCTGGTGGGGAGGCATTTGCCTGTTTGTTCTGCAGAAGTTTCTTATATGTTCTGGAAGTCCTTTTTCAGATACATGTATTGCAAACATCTTTTCCCACTCTATGGTTTATGTTTCAAGTCTATCATGGCATCTTTGATGAATAACATTTCTTAACTTTAGTCAGATCTGTCAATAATTTTCATTTATGTTCAGCATTTTTTTGTGTTTTATTTAAATGAAACACGAAAATATTCTTGTATGATATATTTCTGAAAGATTAGTTATTCTGCTTTTCATATTTAGAGCTATAATCAACCTGAAATTAATTTTTCAGGTGAAAGAGGTTGGAGTCAAACATTTTAAAATGTAAGTATCCAAATGCCTTACACCTTTGTACAATCTATGTAAAAGACAATCCATTTTCCATTGTTTTTGAAGTGTCATTTTTGTTATAAATCAAGTGACGATAGCTCTGAGGATGTTTTATTCAATCTTGTTTATCCTACAATAACATTAATAGCTTTATCATGAGTTTTGTTATCTGAGAAGTAAGTTCTCAAGTTTTTTAAAAATACATTTTACTTTTAGAGTAGCTTTAGGTTCACAGCAAAAATGAGATTTCACATATGCCCCGGTCTCCACACAAGCACAACTTCACCCGTTATCAACATCTTCCACCAGAGTGGTTCCTTTGTTACAACTGATGAATCTGCATTGACACATCATTATAACCCATAGTTTACATTAGGGCTCACTCTTGGTGCTGTGTATTCTACAGCTTTGGACAAATTTTAAATGATATGGATTCACCTTTATAGTATCACACAAAGTAGTTTCACTGCCCTAAAAATCTCCTGTGCTCCACTTATATATAACTCCCTTCCTCCCCTAGAACCCACTGCAAATGGATATTTTTTTCTGTCTCCAAAGTTTTGCTTTTTCTAGAACACCATGTAGTTGGAATCATGCAGTATGTAGTCTTTTCAGACTGGCTTCTTTCACTTAGTAATATCTGTTTAGATTTCCTCCCTGTCTTTTCATAGGTTGATAGCTCATTTCTTTGTGATGCTGAATAGTATTCTATGGGTTGAATGAACTGCAGTTTGTTTATTCATTCACCTACTGAAGGACCTGTTGGTTGCTTCCAAGTTTTGGCAATTATGAATGAAACTGCTATAAATATCCCTGCACAGGTTTTTGTGTAAACATAAATGTTCAACTCCTTTGGGAAAATCCTAAGGAACATGAATGCTGGATCACATGGTAATAGTATGTTTTGTTTTGTATTCAACTGCCAAACTGTCTTCCAAAGTGTCTGTACAATTTTGCATTCCCACCAGCAATGAATGAGAGCTCCTGTTGCTCTCATTACCAGCATTTGGCACTGTCAGTGTCCTGGAGTTTGGTCATTCTAATAAGTGTGTAGTTGTACTTCATTGTTATTTTAATTTGCATTTTCCTGTCAACATGTGATATGGAGCATCTTTTCATATGTTTATTTGCCAGCTGTATATCTTCTTTGATGAGGTGTCTGTTAAGGTCTTTGGTTCATTTGGTTCTTGTTGCTGAGTTTTAGTAGTTCTTAGTATATTTTGAATAACAGTCCTTTATCAGATATGTCTTTTGCAAATATTTTCTCCTAGTTTATGTCTTGTCTTTTCATTCTCTTCATAGTATCTTTTGCAGAGCAGAAAGTTTTAATTTTAATGAAGTCCAGTTTATTAATTCTTTCTTCTATGGATTATGACTTTGGTATGGTATCTCTAGTTTTATTCCTTTTCTTCAAGATTGCTTTGGTTATTTATATGTTAAAATAAACTTAATGTTTGGTTCATTAATTTTCACAAAGAAATCTGCTGAAATTTTGTGTAGGATTTTAGTGCATCTATAGATTGACTAAGAGAGAACTGACATATTCCCAACATCGACTCTTCCAATTAGTGAACCTTATATATGCCTGTAATTATTTAGATCTTCTTTAATTTTTCTCAATATTTTACAGTTTTCAGTGAAGTCTGAATACTAGATTCTAGTATTCAACTAGATTTTTTCATACTATTTTTGAAACCATTGTGCATAATATTTAAATTTTTCACTTTTTATGTTGCCACATAGAAATACAACTCATGTTTGTATGTTGACCTTGTATCCAGTGGCATTGTTAACTTCATTTATTAATTCCAGTAGACTGTAGATTCTTCATGGCTTTCAATGTGTATAATCATGTCTACTTAAAAAGACATTTTAATTTTGTCCCTTCGAATCATAGTGCCTTTATTCCTTCTTTGCTTTATTGTGCTGTTTAGGATCTGTAATAAAATACTAAATTGGAGAAGAAAAGACAGGTATCCTTGTTCATCCTTGATCTCCAGAGGAAAGTTTTCAAAAATTTACCATTAATGATGCTTCCTGTAGGTTTTTAAAGTCACTTTGAAAGTTCCCTTCGATTTTAGTTTGCTAATAATGTTACCATTAGTGTGTACTGAATTTTATCAAATGATTTTTTATGTATCCATTGAAATAATCATGTTTTGTTCTTTATCTTTTAATATGGTAAATTATAATAATCAATTTTCAAATATTAAACTGCCTCTGTATTCCTAAAATAAACTTTGGTTTCCAATAAATTATTATTTCTCTTTTATATATTTCTAAATTTTACTTGCTAATATTTTTATTTTTTATTTCTTTTTTAATTTTTTTGAGATGGAGTTTCGTTCTTTTCACCCAGGCTGGAGTGCAATGGCGAAATCTTGGCTCACTGCAACCTCTGCCTCCCGAGTTCAAGCAATTCTCCTGCCTTAGCCTCCCGAGTAACTGAAATTACAGGCTTGTGCCACCATGCCCAGCTAATTTTGTATTTGTGGTAGAGATGGGGTTTCTCCATGTTGGTCAGGCTGGTCTCAAACTCCCAACCTCAGGTGATCTGCCCGCCTCAGCCTCCCAAAGTGCTGGGATTACAGGAATGAGCCACCATGGCCAGCCTTTGCTAAGATTTTTAAAGGGAATTTTTCCATGTATATTTCTAAAAAAGAATAGTTTGTCATCTTTTTATATCTTATTCAGGTTTGAATGTTATAATCTATTCAGATTTATGCTGACACCCAAATTATTTGGGAAATGTCTATTTTTCTACTCTCTGAAGGAGTTTGTACAAATTAGTGAAAATTTTGACATCAGGAGAATTCACTATTGTGAATTAGAAAAGGTTTTTAATGAACAGCTTTAATGTAATAGATATGACTAATCAGATCTTCATTTCTTCCAATTTCAGTTTTAGAAAATTGTGTTTTTAAAGGTTGTTTTCTGTTTTATATAATTGTCAAGTTTATTGGCATAAAATTGTTCATAATATTCCCTTTTTATTTTTTAAATGTCTGTAGGCTGCTAGTTGTGTGTGTGTGTGTGTGTGTGTGTGTGTGTGTGTGTGTGTTTATTCCTGATATTGGCAGCTGGTGTCTTCCTCCTTTTTTCTTGATTGTCTTAAAGTTTTAAATTTCAGTCATTACAAGAAACCAACTTTTAGCTTCCCTGATTTCCCCTGTTGTATATTTGTCATTTATTTAGTTTCTGCTTATGTGTGTGTATAAAATTTTCTTCCATCTTTATTTGCATTTGATTTGCTATTCTTTTTCCATCTTCTTAAGATAAAAGCTTAGATTATTGATTTTTGGCCTTTCTTTTCTAACATGTGCATTTAAGGTTTAAAATTTCCCTCTAAGTACTGTTTTGATATGCCAGGTCTTAACTTTTCCCAATTCAAAATATTTGGAAATTTCTGTTGTGATTTATTCTTTGACTCACAGGTTATACAATTTAATTTTAAAATATTTGGAGATTTCCGGTTATATTTTTATTTCTGGCTTAATTCACTGTGGTCAGAGAACATACTCTGAGTTGTTTCAATTCTTTTTTTTTTTTTTTTTTTTTCCCGAGAAGGAGTTTTGCTCTGTTGCCCAGGCTGAGTGCAGTGGTGTGATCTCAGCTCACTGCAACTTCCACCTTCCAAGTTCAAGCAATTCTCCTA